GCCAAAGTGCCGTGTCTCTGTGCCTTCACACGCTTGGATACCGACGAAGAATCGACGCCGTGTGGATGTGTTTTGCGAGTGCAATGTGCGTGAAGCCGTACGTATCTAAAGGTACAACTCATCGAAAGCAAGTGTCGCCGGTCTCGCGGCATGATCAAAGCTTCCTTGGCACGCCGAGTGCTGAATCTTTGTGTCTTTCCAGGCTTGGATACCAATCAAGAATTGACGCCGCACCAAAGTTCTGAACGTCTGTCGCGCGTAGGTGCCTTTAGATCATCTATATATATATCGGCCACGGAGTTCAGGATCGTCCAGCGTTTCGGTGAGTTGCTATCAATAAAGCGGGGGGGGGGGGGGGGGGGGGATCTGTGCGTGTTCTTATGCACTAGTAACCATGGGTATGTTCCAAATCTACTCTAATGGATCACATGGAAGCACGAATAGAGCAGAGCTGTGGAGTAAGGAGGGTTTTCGAAGGCAAAAGTACAAGACGGTGAGAATTAAAATCTTTGAAGCGCGGACCATATGGTCGTGTGCAATCTGTTGACCAATCAGAATTAGGCGAGCCGCACTCAAACGTCAAGTGCAATAAAGTAGTTTGATAATGAGCCAGCACTGATCAGTGATGAGGAGCTGTTTTGCGCAGCATTCTGTAAATCGTCTCAGGACGAAAAAAAAAACACGTACCTTCCGCCCTATTCCATCGCTATTGGACGCTAGAATAAGCTCGTTTCTGGACCGCGAGTGCCGCAAGTATACAGTCGTCAGAGTAAAGTAAGACGCTGATCCAGAGGCACATACGGCTTCACGCACATTGCACTCGCAAAACACATTCACATGGCGTCGTTTCTTGGTCGGTATCCAAGCGTGAGAAGGCACAGAGACACGGCACTTCGGCGTGCCAAGGAAGCTTTGAACACGCTGCCAGACCGGCGAAACTTGCTTTCGACGAGTTATGCCTTTTTCCTGCGGTACTGCGCTTTCGTAAAATTTTCGACGTGTTCACAACGGCAAGTCTCAACGGTGCGCTGAGTCTTAAAAACCTTCTTCGGCGAATGACGACGAACGAGTAGAAAACGTGTCTACAGCACGTTGGCAAACCGCAGCAAAAGGCTAGCAAAACCGCAAATCGTATCCCAGTAAAGTTGCCATCCGGTGGCTTCACTCGCGCTGCAGCGAACAAGCGGGGAAGCGCGATCCAGCAGTTGTCACTCAGGTCAGTGGTATGGCCGGACCCGGATGAGACTTTCCTCCTTTCACCATATTGTTCGCGCTGCGCCCGCCAGCACGTGGTGACGCGATCGCGAGCGGATGAGTTCTCGCTGCCCACTGATGGCTCTAGAGAGAGAACTTTACCGGAACCCCGCGCCTGCTCCATCGACGTCACTGCGCACGTGACCCGGAAGACGATGCGCAAGTTGAGAGGCGGCAAAAACCTGGACCTTTTTTCATTTTTAAAAATAAAACTAGGGTATTCAGGCAAAATCTGTTTTATGTAGTTCAGTTCAGAAGTGTCAGGCATCAACTTCCACAATTATTTAAGCAAAACCCTGAAATTGTTGCACAGCTCCTTTAACGGCCGCAGAGGTGAGCTCAAAGGACGAGACGGAGACGTCTACCCAAAAACGAAAGAAAGTAATATCCCCAACCTCATTTCACTTTCCGATTTGAGTAGAGCTATACGCACGAAGCGAAACTCGTATAAAACGGATGGTTCAGGCACATAGCCAGCGGGGGAGGCCGAAATCTTTCATATTGCTGGGGCCTTCTCTCCCCCTACCCCTCATACAGAACATGATTGTAAACCTGAGACTGGGGCAGAAAAGAGAACACAACAGAAGGTAGTAAAAGAGGAGGCAACGTCTCAGACGTTGCCTCCTCTTTTACTACCTTCTGTTGAGTTAGTTTTACTACCACCTTCTGTTTTACAACAGAAGGTAGTTTTACTATAGTCAGTTACAGGTTAAGAAGGTAGCGGCAAATGCCCCTCAAAGGGAATCAGATATTCCTCCGCCACCTCCGCATCCAATAGCGTCCCACCGTTTCCGTGACGTCGCGGCCAACGCGCGAGGAGGGTCTTGCCTTTCTGTACATATTTGCTTTATCTTTCTACTTTCACCTAGCATTGTGGAAGCCACGAGAGGGAGATTAGAGTTCTCCCCCACCGACGGAAACAAATACGACTTTCGGGGATTAGCTTCCCCCCCGATGGATACAAAGGCTGCTTTCAGGGGCTCGGTTCCCTCTCCGATGAATACAAAGGTCGCTTTCTTAAAAAGTGGGATCGTAGACAAGTGGGAATCCATTGAAGCGGAACAAGGAGCGTTTCCAGTGAACTCTTCTTTCGACTGCGGAGAGATTTGAAACGGGCGCATCACACTTGTGGGAGGAGCTTCTCCTACCTTCTTGACTTGTAACCGACTATAGGGAGCCTTCATGTGCGCTTTGCTAGGGTGATGCCACCCTTTGTAATACCACTCGCCGACAAACCAGCAGCCATTTTGTTCCTCGGCGATAATCCGTGGGGCTTATAACCCTCCCGGAAACAAGCACCTTATCTCAGAAGTTCGGAGCAGCGTTGTGGAACCCACGGAGGGAGGATTAGCATTTTCCCCCTCTGATGGGATTACCGATGGACACAAAGGCCACTTTCCGGCGCACGGGGAAACCAGAGCCGTATATGTAGAGAGTTTGGTCAATGGGAGGCGCGGGCAGAACCAGGGCGTGTGGCAGACTCGGAAAGAGGGCTTGGCATGCTCTCTTGACCAACCAGAAGCCGAAAAGAATCCCCTAGCGGTGGTAGCGAGAAACAGTTCTGAGCCGATCGATCATCGCAGGTCTATGTTCGTATATGGTTTTAATAAGTGCGTAAGAGTGAAGTGTACTAACTCTTTGTGGTTGAAAATAGGGTGCACGTGTTGTTTCATCATGATCATGCAGAAAGATTGATTGATTGATTACGGGCTTTATGGCGCAAAGCTACTATGGCCATACTGTGCCAAGCTTGTTTAGTTGGGACATACTCAGGTCTTTTTTATATGAATTATAGAAAAGAGGTTCATATGACAAGGTTAAAATTCATAGAGTTAAAATTACAACTCTAGTAGGAAGCCGGTTTTTCTTAAGTAATTTATGATACGATCAAATGGTACTATAGGAGTCTCGCCAATTAGCAGCGCTGGGTGAAAAGGAATCTGGTGGGAAAAAAAACTCGGGGAAATGTGTACGTCGTTCTTGCTCAAGCCCTGGGCACAGCCACAAAATGTGTAAAATTGTCAAACGCTCCCCACATTCATCACACAGGGGTGGGGCTTCCCCCCTCAGCAGATGTTTGTGGGTGAGATAGGAGTGTCCAATTCTAAGACGACACAAAAGAACTTCAAGGCGGCGGGTTTTGTGGGATGCACTCTCCCATATACCAAGAGCTGGTTTAATCCTGTGAAGTTTGTTTTCGCATTCCAGACTCCACTCCGATTGCCATAGCCGGAAAACTGATGATTTCACCAAGGGCTCGGCGCTCGGCGTTTGGCGTAAGGATTATGTCGATCTTTCCGCTAGTCGCACTCTTCCACCATCATTTTAGATGAGTGTGATTGAAACATCACGTGTACCATATTTTCAGCCATCGAGAGTTACTCCAATGCAGTTATCAGGTTTGTTTTTCGCGACCACCGCCAGGGTATTATTTCCGGCTTCTGGTTGGTCACATTCGAATTTCTGAAGACGCCCTGGAACACGCCCAGCCCGCTTTCAGCCAATGGCGCCTCCGCATTTGTCTCCTATACTTCCCAACGAATGGCCAAACTCTCTACATATACGGCTCTGGGGGAAACGAGAGGAACAAAATGGCGGTGGAAGAGGGTGTGGGAAAGGGAAACAGGCAGTTGGCATCACTCTATGCGAAGTGCACATGAAGGCACTATAAGTTTTACTACCTTCTGTGGTGTAGTAAAAAAGGAGGCAACGTCTGAGACGTTGCCTCCTCTTTTACTACTTTCTGTTGTGTTCTCTTTTCTGCCCCAGTCTCAGGTTTACAATCATGTTCAACTTACACCAGCTCGCCCGCACTCTGACTATTTTTTCCCTAGTACAGCATTTCGTCATCTTCTGGGCCTCGCATTTGGCTCGGTGATACACACGCTCCTGCGACTTGGTGCCACGTGCCTTGCTCCGACGCCCTTATTGGGTCGCGAAAGCCGTAGCCTCCACAGTTTGTAGTATATGTGCTATATTTGGTGTCACTGCGGCAAACACCAAGTGAACACTTATTTGCATCAATTTCGCTCATAAGTAGCAAAAAAGATGAAAAAAAAACTCAGGCGGCTGTCAAGAGAGACAGCTACGAGGCGATCCTTCATAACCAGCTGAGCCAGGCCCACGAAAAAAATGCGAACACCGTTCGAGTTACCGTGAGTATGATGCAATTGTGCATTTGGGACAGAATGTAAGGGTGGAAGTGAGCTGGTGTATATTAAACATTTTGGTGAAAACCCAAGACTGAGGTAAACGACAGATGACGACTGGAGAATGTCTCGTTTTGAGACATTCTTCTTCTCTTTCCTTGTCGACGTTTGTCATTTACGTCAGCCTCGACTTTTCACCAAAGAGCAAAACATTTGGAATGACTAAAATTCTTGTTATCCTCTCCAATCCTAGAGGTCTGGCATTACCATACACTTTTATGCTCCAAAATTATGTTTAGATCAAAAGGCAGCCTGCTTCCACCAGCACGTCAAGCTCGGATGACTCGCTGGTTTCCAGCAATGAGCTCCAGGAAGCACGCAAAAAGGCAAAGTTCTGGAAGTCCCAAAGCAAGGAACTGCAGGAGGACAAGTTCCTGCAAGAGCAAGTCCGTGCACAGCAGGTACCCCTGGGATCCAAGATCTTTAGGTGCGAGTGGAAAACCTTTACAATTTTTTTTTTTTTTTATTGCCTATTTCGTTTTGGAAGTTGGTGTATTACAGGAAAGTTTCTATCTACAATCTTTTTGTTTGGGGGGACACTCCCGGGTAACGTGGCTGGTCTGCACCTATTCTATGCAATAGAAACATGATCGATTCTTATTATGCTCATTAAACGAATGAAACTTATTTAAACAGTGGAAGAGCTCCAGAGTAGGAGCCAAGTTCCAGCCGTGGACCATGGTAGTCTGAGTATGTACAGATATTCTGTTTATAGTTTAGGGGTTGTTTAGTTGGTAGATTTGCAATCATTAGATTTGATTAGTCAGATTTGTTGCATTGTTTACAAAAGCTTACAAGACCGGGGGAGAGAAAACCTATCATCCTGGAAAACCTAACGACCGATAACGCTGCTTGATGTTCTAGAGATGTGACACTGGCTTTGATGGCTTTAGAGAGCTAGCCTCAAAATGTTCCGAGCCTGTAAGCTAACCTAGCTGCTTTCACATATCAGCTGCTGCTTCTACAACACTGGTGCAAAGCGGTGAAGCGCTGCTGTAATGCGCAGTGTGCAAGCTTGCAAAGCAGTCGGGCTTTTGTGAAAGAGTCTGCCACCTCATTCAAAGTCACGCCCACCTACATGGTGTTTAAATTAACTAATCTTGTACTTCGATGGGGGTCGTTTGTAAGGTTTCCAAGAAATTTATTGCTGATCTACTATGTGATGGCGATTCCAAGGTTGGGAAACAATCACTTGGCTCACATTCTTGATGCTGTTTCTTTTAATACAGTACCAGAGACTGAAGGGCTCGCTGAACCCTGTTAAGCTGTGAAACTATGCCAAGCTCCTACATCCAAGGCAGCACCCACAGCAGGACGCAAGTTCGTTGAATGTATGAATCTCTGTGAATGTCAAATGTTATTTTTTGAATTTATAGCACACCCAGGGCTGCTTGTACCTCATCCCCAGGAAATGAAATGTGAGCCGACAATCATGCAGCCTTTTACATCTGAAACAAACCAACCTAAATGCACTGCATATATTTACAGCCAACAAAGGAGTCGTTCCACACGTTCCCCGGTCAAGCAGTGCTATGGCAGGTAAGTTGGCTGTGTGCGTATCTAGCTTTTCTATATGGAACCCTATCCTGCATTTACTCTGCATTGCTCTCAGGGCTGGCTGCACAAGTGCCTCACGTCAAAGTTCCTGCAGCAGGTGAGTTACCTCTTGATACTTTAGGAACATTGCCTTGCTATGAAATTTAATAACCTGGCATGAGCTCATGTGTTCCTGCTTGCATATGCATGGCTTCAGGAACAGCGGCTAATCATGTTAACTGAGCAACACAAATGTTTGACTGAATCCTGATTTCAGCATCACCTGGTGCATGCCTGGAGCAATTTTCACACGCTTGATGGTTCAGCAAGTACCTTTCTAGTTTTGTAAGGTGCATCAAGATAGGTTTGCGACAGAGAAGTAAACGGGTAAAATATCTGGTATATCCGTCAATTATTAGGTGGCGAGTTGAAGGATAACCTACTCTCATATTTCATTCAGGTAGCAAAACGTGATTGCTTATAGATTACTTATTTCTTTGGTCAGTGAATATTTCATGTTCTTTAAAAGGCAATCAATTTCTGTCACGATCCTTCTAGAACATGGTACGAGGGGGCGGAAGCACCCGCCGAGAAAAGACAACACGCAGCCTGGTTGTGAGGGTGGACGATGACTGACCGGAGCGGCATACGCTCTACGGTGTTTATTGGCGCGGTGACCAATGTTGCCTGCCGAGCTTGGAGGGGGTGCTACATAGTTGTTACACTCCTCCCCCCCCCCAGGTTGTGTTTTTAAAAACAAAATAAATACAAAAAGCACACGCCGACACCAACTCGGCGTCTGGTCGTGCAAAGTCCTGGCTGGTCGACGATGAAGGTTACCCCGGCGAGTAACGGTCAGGTGGCATCGCTGCCGTGTACTCCGCCTGGTCACTGGTGTCGACGGGCCAGGTGTGGCAACGCTGGGCATTGCCTGAACCGGTCGCGCTCCATCCGGTGGAGCCGCAGGGACCGGATTTGGGAGTGGAACCGGACCAACTGGTGCCACAGGACTGGCGACGCTAGTCGCCTCCGTGGTGGGTGGCGCTCCACTGGCCGAGACTGGTGCTGTCGTTGGTCGCCATGCGGGCTGGTCCTCCGAAGAGACGGCCGAGGGTGCAAGCCAGGTCCCGGAGCGAGGCCAGACATGGTCGGCGTGCCGGTGCCAGGTGGCCGGTCGGGAATGCGGACGAGTAGCAACGAGGCACTCGCTGGAGAAACCACATGTCCAGGAGACCAGGGTGGGCCAGGACGGAAGTTCCTGGCGTAGACCGACGCTCCCGGCTCCGGCAAAGGCCCGGGACAGCACCCTCGGTCAGCAGTCAGTCAGGAGCGCCGTGGACCGGAGGTCTGGATGCAAGACGTCCAAGGGTGTCTTGACCATCCGACCCAGCAGAAGCTCGTAGGGGGCACGGCCAGTGACCTCATGGGGTGTGGTCCGGTACTGGAACAGTACCCGGGCCACCTGCGTCCGGAAATCCCCGGGCTGGCTCTTCTTAAAGGGGCCCTGCAATCATATTTAAGCGTTTACCTTTTTTGCGGTTTCCACGTCTCTTGGGTGGTTCGGACAAGCCAGCGGGCACGGAGAGACTAATTAAATATCAGCGCGCCATATTTTAACCGGACGACGTGGAAACCACCTCCACCGACGAGGGCGACCCGCGGTACCGAAAGCGCGCAAAATGTGACGTCTTTGGTCCTAGGCTTTCTACTGGTCAAAGCTGCTAAAAGCTTTTTCGTAGTCGAAATGCAAAATATAAGTGGCCGCGAACCGTTTCAGTTATTTATGAAAGGAGTTTTTGTTCAGTATTTTTGATCAGAAAAGAAACAAATGCAGTTTATAAAGTATGGAAACAAGAAAAGACCCGTCCACATACCCGCCACCAAGCGGTGGAAAAAACGGCGCATACTAGAAAGAACTAGTGGGATGAGGCTACGACGAACGGCCAGCGTAGAAAAGTCCCGGATGTACGCGGCGGTGCTGCGGTCGTATACCGGCTTGACGATCCGACCGGTTCCGAGCGTTCCGAAGGCCTTCGGCGCGGGCCCTGCTGGCGATTTGGCCATTTGGCGGCATGGCAGCGCGAAGTGGCTTCCGTTCTGAACTGATCTTTACCTCGTGTTTGCTTTCGTTTGTGGCCAATAAAATGTTATGCCGAAATAGTCCTTAATCGTGCAGCAAATGCAATTCGAGCCACCCCGGCCGCCCGCTTCATAGAGCCTATCCAACACATGCTTCAGTGGCGCCCTCTCGAGCCGTCGACCCGGAGTGCGGCAACCCTGAACGCTCGATGAGCTCACTACCCCTCCTCTAGTTCACGGCCACTCAAGCCAGGACCTACGACGTCATGAAGGAGGTTCTTTTTTGCTTGTTTTTGTAATTCTAATTCGCCTATAACTTTTAAAATAAAGCAAAATTTGAGAAAAGAAAAGTTTGATTAAGTAACTACGTTCAGTGCGCTCAGGTTCGGTGAAAATTAAAACCAGTCAAAAAGCCATTGCAGGGCCCCTTTAAGCTTGTTCTTGATGGTCTGTACCACCCGCTCGGCTGCACCATTGGAAGCCGGGTGGTACGGTGGAACCGGCATCCGGCGGATTCCATTCTTCTGCAGCGAGTCCAGGTACTCGGCGCTGGCGAAAACGGGACCATTGTCGCACACAATAATGTCCGGCAATCCCTGCGCCGCGAAGACCTGCCGCAGCGCCGCAATGGTCGCACTTGCCGATGGAGTAGTGACTGGCAGTGCCTCCTCCCACTTGGAGAAGGCGTCCACTACCACCAGACGTGCAAGGCCATTGAAGGGTCCCGCAAAATCAACATGCAGGCGGGACCAGTGCCTCTGGGGGAACGGCCAGGGGGTGATCTCCACGTGGCGCGAGGCTCGCCGATTCTCCTGGCTGACCTGGCAGCCTTGCACCTGGTGCGCGATGTCATGGTCCAGGCCAGGCCACCAAACGTGCGACCGTGCCACCATCTTTGTCTTTTCCATGCCAGGATACCCCGCATGCAGCAACTGCAGGACCTTGGCCCGGAGACTTTGTGGAATCACCACCCTGGAACCCCACAGCAGGCAGCTCTGCTCCAAGCTCAGCTCGGCGGCCTTCTGACTGTACGCCTGGTGACACAGCTCCTCCCCTCGGGACACCGCCTTGACCACCTGCGACAGGACCGGGTCCCGGCTGGTTGCCTGTGCCACCGCAGTCCTGGTGAGAACCCCCGAGTAGGCCCGCTTCAGCAGGAAAACATCAGCTGGCTCTGGAACAGCAGCAGGCACCTCCAGCACGGACAGGTGGCTCAGGGCGTCGGCCGGTCCCAGGTCCTTCCCAGGGCGGCAGACCAGCCTGTAGTTGTAGGCCGCCAGCGTCAAGGCCCAGCGTACCACGCGAGGCAAGGCTTGCACTGGCACTGCCTTGTCAGGCACCAGCAGCGGCTTGTGGTCCGTGACTGCCTCGAATTTCCGGCCCCACAGATACTGGTGGAAGCGCTCGATTTCGAAGATGAGCGCCTGGCCTTCCCTGTTGAGCTGGCTGTAGTGTTGCTCTGCCGCATGACGTCGACAAGAAGCAAACGCCACAAGGCGTTCCTGACCATTCTGACCCCGGTGCAACAGGACGGCTCCTACCCCGTACGGCGACGCATCTACGGTGAGGACCACAGGCTTGGCCGGATCGAAGTGCACCAGCACTGGAGCCTTGATAACCAACTCCTTACTGTGCTGGAAGGCCAAGTCCTGCTCCTTCTCCCAGGCCCACTGCTGACCATCACGAGGCAGGCGATGCAGCGGCTCCAGATGCGTCGACAGGTTGGGCAGGAACCTCCTGTAGAAGTTGATTATGCCGAGGTAGCTCTGAAGCTCCTTCTTGCTCTTGGGCTTCGGCGCCTTGAGCACGGCCTCAATCTTGCGGGGTGCCGGGGCCAGGCCAGCCTGGGAGATGACATGTCCCAGGTTTAATTAAGGAATTAAGGACGGTTTAATTAAGGAAATTATTTCTAAAAAATGTTGCCAGCTACAGGAGACACAAGGGCATAAGTGTAAATTGAGAGAGAGCTACTTCATTGGGTAAATGGATTAATAAATTGTTTCACTGCTGTTAGTGGCCATATAACAATCACCGTTTCTACCTAAATAACTAACTTATAGTTATGTTGGTAATTATCACTTTACCCTCATGCCCTGACATCTGCTATTGTTTGTAATACTATCCCGAATGCACAATTTTCTTCTAGTTCAAGTGTTTCATGTTTTGACTTCTCCAGTATTGGAACTCCCTATATATGTATGGGTACAGTAGTTATTCACGACTATGCCCTAGCAGATGACAGTTGCAAGAATGACCACATATTGATTAAATTGTGCTTTGGACATAACCACAGTCATGTACTTTCAATTTGCTTTTCAGACAACCAGGCAGTGGCAGCCCTCCAGTTCCTCTGCTGCAACGTAAAGGAGCCTCATGCCTTCAAGCAAATCTTCTTAAACTAAGATGTAAGTGTTGCTAAACTTCCTTACTGTTCTATGGTTTTTGAACCTAAAGGACACAGAGGGTGACTTTTTTCAATGGCGAATGGAATTTAAAAAGCTCGGCTCACTGTGCAGTAGATGCTGCCTTCGCTGTACTTTCTTAGTGTGGCGGATAGCCATAAGAGATTGTTGGGTAATTAACCGAAAATATGTCCCATAACTTTTTCATTACTGCCTTTATGGTCTACGCTGTAATTGCACTCGGAGCTTCACTAGAACCCCGTTTCCTTGCAAATCGCGAGTGTTCGCAGATCTGGAGCGTCGAGCGGCCGGTCTCTGTGGCCGAGAGCAGAGCAAGGTCCGCCAGCACCGCCACTGTGTGCCAGGTTCCACAGTTCCCAAAGTTCTTGTCAGCCCACTGAGCCTACCGTCAGCCCCACGATCAACACAAAAAGCTGTCTCTGTTGAGGCAGGCATGCACAGCTTAAATTTACCGCTTGAACTTAACAGGGAATTGATCAGCGTACCTAAGCATATCCCCAAGTATGTAGTGCAAAGACTCCACCCGCGTCGATTGCAATTCCAGCTGGTTGGCTTCGGCGGGAGCGGTGGCCCTACTCAGTATCGCTTCGTCTCTCGAACAGCTCGTTGCGAGACTTGCAGTGATGTCATATGCTGTTATAGCTTTCTCTCGTGAAGCACCACTCAAGAAATTGATGTGATAGCTGTCATCGCGGTGAATTGAACGTTAGCACAAACATCGAAACCCCAATGCTGTCATAGAGTAGAGGCCAAACTTCACCCATGCGAGCTGGCATTCAATCGCTGCGCCAGCGAACTCCTCCCGATTGCTCAGCACTGACCGCCACTTTCGACAGATCAGTTGAAGCGGCTCGGTGATTGCACTGTCGGCTTCAGATCCGCAAGGGGCACGTGGAGAATAGTAGTAGTAGATTGGGGTTTTGTAGCGCAAAAGCAACTAAGGCTATGATGTACCAAGAAATGGTACTATTGCAGAAGAGGATATCGGAGAAGAGCTTTAGTAGCTGGTAATTGAAAAAAAAATGTATAAAATAGGAGCAGGACCTTACATTATAAATAATGCTACAATTTGTGTAAAAAATCAACGCTTTTTAAAAACTTACAAACCTGGGTGGATGGGAGTAGTGGCTCATTCCCAAGTAACACGCATAGGTGTAAAGGAACATGCTCTTTGTACAGTTGTGAAAAGTAGTGGAGGTTTTTTTCATCATAAGCAGGATATTCTAGGAGGATATGTAAGACACTCAATGGTTCCTGGCAATGTCCACATTCAGGAGGGTCCTCACCGCGTAAGAGGTGTCCGTGCGTGAGCCGCGTGTGTGCAATGCGTAGTCGACAAAGGACTACCTCATAAAACCTGTCTCTGTGCCTAGCACTCTGCCACTTACTAAGAAAAGGCGTAATCATGTGCAGTTTGTTTGACACCTTTAGGCTCCATTCTGATTGCCACTGAGCTTTAAAGGGACCATGAAATGACCTTTTTACTTTTTCCAGATAACTTTTACATTAAACCGTCAATGTTCACTGAATGCCGAACAGGCATCCGTTTTCGTCTCGGTTTATTAACTTTTACACAAAAAATTATTGAAATATCGACTTTTTCATTCTCTCCAACTGACCGCAAAAGAAGCCGTGACGTAGACCGTTTCCGGAACCGGAAGTTCTCTCGGCAGTAGGAGAATGGGAGTGTTAGCGGCAACGAGTTGGGGTGCGCCGGTAGGTTTTACTGCGCTGATGTCACCGACGTATTTCCTGAATCGGCTCCTCTCATCGCCGCATCGCAGCTGAGCGAAATTCAATGAGATATGTTGCGCTACAGCGACAGCATGGGACTAGTCCCATACGCCGGTATGCCTGTTGGGAAGTGCGGCGAGTCTTGTCACCACCCCGTCATTGTTGGCAGAAGGGCCGGCCCGTGTCAGTCGTTTGCAAAGCGACGTAGATGGCGTTTTTCGCGGCCTCGGAGATGCAGGAGCGAGCCGACGTTAAAAAAGATACGTTTGAACTACGAGTGTCAGCAAGAGCCACGTAAATACCTGCTTACACTCGGAGCGGACGCGCGCGCTTGATGGAAGTCTTGTATTCGCGCTGTTGGTAAGCGCTTCGGGACCGTTCTTTTACGATTGCAACTCGATACTAGGGAGTTTTAGTAGATCGTTTTCAAAGGCCCGCTACCGCTACGAGCGCGCGCTTCAGAGCATGCATCGAAGTGGCAGCGCGAGCTCCCGCTACGATTAGCGTGGCCTGAAAACACGATCTACTAAAACTCTCTACTGACGCGACACTCGGCAAAGAAAGGTTGGACCGGGGTCGACAGTGACGTGCAGTCTGTCAGAATAAAAATGGCATACCAATAACAAAGTGTACATACCGTGTTACGAAGGCAATCCATACGGCGTTTATTTCAGCTCTATATCACACAAAACAAGAAGATAGAATCGACGAGAGTCCCTTTTCGACGAGTGTTCGTCAACACTGCCTCGGAAAACAAGGGGAAGAGATTGACCTCCTCACCTCAATCTAGAATTGAGGTCAGTAATCAAACTATAATAAGGGAAGGGTCCACAAGGGTCGCGCGGGCATATTCCATTTAGCACGCCAGCCGGTCGTAGGCAGACGGTCTTGCGACGAAGCAACGCAGCGCCGAGTCGGAATGCCTGCTAGGCCTATACGCTTCGTCGGAGTCGGTGAATCCAGCGTTCTTGTTCGTCGTGGTCTGTTTTAAGTACTGTTTTCTTGCTGCTTGAAGTCGGCACGCGCGGGAAGAACACGTAGAAAAATAAACGTTCAGTCAGTCAGTTTTAAGAGGAAGGAAAACAAAGAAAATAAATGTTCGTCGGTCGCCGTCACCCAAGTAACTGGCGGCCCTGCCCTACTGCGCACGCGCAGTAGTTGCTTCGTTTACCACACGATAGATGGCGCTTGGCTCTCAGCAGTATCAAATTTGGCAATTTTCGCCACACATCTCTAATTATGCTACAAAATGTGGATCTGAATATTATTTAACAAAACTTTTAGGAAACATTCGCCGGCTATTTATTGTTTACGATCGCGGTGCTGGTGAGGTAGGCTCTTACCCAATAGGCGATGTGGATTCGGCTGACGTGCACCGATTCTGCGTATGCATCGTAGTGAACAGGCGAAGGAAGGAAGGCGCAAAAGAGTCCAGTTTTCTTTTAAAAGTTCTATAGCAAATAATTTTTTTGGGCTCCCTATTTTTGTGTTTTTGTGTTTCTTTTCACACCTTTTACGACGTGCGGTGGATGAAACTCGATTTTAAAATCATTTCATGGTCCCTTTAACATGGTATTTGATTAGGGCACAGTAATCTCTATATGGGATGCAACTGATGTCTACAGCACGGGTGCCAGAAGTGCCCGCAGCACGATCTACCTCATCATTCCCTGGGATTTCGACATGGCTCGGTACCCAGCAGATTAGAACATTACATCCTTTCCTCGTTGCTGCTACTATTTTGTTTTGTAATAAAACAACGAGGGCATTCTTTGGAATTTCAAGCAACGTCAGAGCCCGCAAAGCACTCAGCGAATCTGTATACATAACTGACCGAGAGTTACTTGTTTGGATAATATGATCTACTGCAAGCAGAAGGCCTTGCAGTTCAGCAGTGAAAACAGTAGCGGACGAATTCAGCCTACGAACAGTTCTTACTGCAGGGCCAATCATAGCACAGCCAACAAATGATCCAGTTTTTGTACCGTCTGTGTAGCAGTGGGAATGAAAATCATGTTTCTTGAGGAGTTCGTAAAATTCTTGTCACATGACCTCAGTTGGAGTTTCCTTCTTATTAAACTTCGTTAGTGAAAAATCACACCGTATGCAGTTAAAATCCCATGGTCCCACCGACCTTGCAACTGTAGCAACTGGGAGCTTACTGTCTATCCCAACTGACTCTGTCAAATTCCGGTTTCTAATCGCGAATGGAGATATAATGCTAGGCTTGTTTTCTAATGTCTTCTGGTATTTAGTGTTCTCCACAGCCTCCCGGGCTGGATGCTGAGCGACTGAGCGTATCCTTAACGAATACATAAACCCTAGGGAGAAACGCCGTCTGTCAAGGGACATCTCATTTCCCTCGGCATAGAGACTGAGCACAGGTGACGTTCTGAAGGCTCCAATTGCTAAACGAAGTCCCTGATGATGGATGGGGTCCAGGGGCACGTGGCGAGATCGCTCATATTTCGCAAGGGATACAGGAACCCGCTTGCCGAGTGCTTCAGATTCACAAGGAAAAGAAGCCATAAGTGCAGTAATGCATTAAAACTTTGAGCGCTGAAGGGCGGCACAGTGCTCAAATATGTGCAATTTATTCATGACAATTTGTGTCATGGGAGCACCACTCTTACAAGCACCACATCAGTCTTACGAACATCTCTTCGTGCATTTTATATCTGTATCAGAAAGGTGATACATTCTTGATGAAAATTTCTACGCCAGTAGCTTTTATTGTAAATAGTGTAAATTGGTTTAGCTTTCCTTGGCATGTAACTGTAACATGAAACATAAAGCCACAAACTAAGCATTAATTAATTGTAGTTAATTACCCAATGGTCCACCGGCCATCTGAACATGTAATGTCTAAAAAAAGTGAAGATAATATCATCTTAACAGCGTGTCTTTTTTCTCAAAGTATAAAAGTAAAGTGCTTTGCTTTTTTTTTTTTTTTGAACGCCCCGACTATGAAATGCATCAGTAGACAATAAGAATAAATTTTAGTGGTAACATAATAAACTCATTCTCATTAAGATCTATCGCTTACTTGCAATTTTATAGCTTTTTATTCTGCAACTGCCAATTCTGTTATGTCTGCAGGAGAGAACTATACCAGTGGTGCCGTGCATCACGTATGCTGGAGAAGATCTGGAGGCGGCAGAGCTGATGAGTCTCCACGCGGATCAGCCGAGGCTGTTCGATGTAGCGGATGCTGAGGAGGGCAGAGTCGCACCATGGCAGCTTACTGGCTATTTGGAATAGAATATGACAAGAAAGTCTACAACACAGCATGTCTTCTCGAAAGACTTGGCCACAAGGTGGCTTACTCCCCACTCCGAGCAGAGGCGATTAAGCTACTGAACAAAATAGCATAAACCAGAACCTTGATAGAAAAATAAAAAGTGAACCAGGCATGTTTCGACTCATTTGCAGTCATTTTTCCATGCACTATTGCGACTTTTTTTACTAGCGTTTCTGACAGCGGTAAACCTCTAAAGAGGCTGTACCACTGCAGTCATAACACCCTAATAAAAAGGTGCAGTGTGGTATCACAGCTTTATTTAAAGGTGTTTGGAATAACACCCTTCTTTAAGGGTGTTAGGAATAACGCCCTTTTTAGGGCGTTTTGCTACACCAACATGAGTGTTAGTTATAGGACAAGCCATATACACCTTCAAAGGTGTTACAATGATTAGTGTGTAGAGGGGTGCGCTACAACTTCCTGATATAACCAAACAGAATCATAGCCAAAGCAAATCCGTTCCGTAATCCGGAGCATAAATGTGTAAATACCGCACTCTATGAATGTTTTATTGCAGAATGGCACCCTGTCTGACACCCGATGAGCGAAGAGCTATTGGTTTAATGGGGCCTACCATGACTCAGAGAAATATGCCAGTCCATGGGGCGCCCCACGGCTACAGTTAGCAGAGTTCTGCAAGCTTATTACCGAGAGGGCCACATAGCTGATCTGCGTAGTGGGCGAGAAAGGGCGAAGCCGACGGAAGAGGACAAGTTGATTGTCGCAGCGTGCGTCATAGACCCTTTCTTGAGCGCGCGAGAGATAAGGGACGAACTTGATCTAGAAAATGTCAGTGTCTCAACCATTCGGAAAATGCTCCATGGAGCAAGTATCCACAGCAGGATCGCTGCACAAGAGTCTCCTAAACGACAGGTACCGCAAACAGCGCATGGAGTCTGCGTCTGTCGTCGAGTCCAGGTGCTCGAAGAAGTGGCGCAGTGTGTTCACAGATGAGGCGTCATTCTGCACACGCTGGGACCAGCAGTAGAGGGTGTGGCGCCCATACGCATGAAGGTAAGTTTTTGTAATTCCCGATTTCAGGACAATATTTTTGTTCCTTACTCTGGTATTAGGAGGGCTACATGAGTATTAGGAGGGCTACAGGACGTGAGTTCCAGCGGGCGAACGTGCGTTCACGTGTGGGGCGAAATCAGCCATGACGGCCTCGGTCCCCGGCACAAGATATGTGGAGGGATGACGTCAGAAAGTTATTCGGATATCGTGGAGCAAGTCTCCACATGTTGTGGATGGGCCTTATGCAGATGGCATGCTTCTAATCCTGCAGGACGGTGCAGCTATCCACACGGCGAGATCAGTCCCCCACCTCCTCGACAGCTTGGGGGTCGTGAGGCTCGACTGGCCAGCGAGGTCTCCAGACCTTAATATAATTAAAAATGTCTGGCGTAAGATGAAGAAAACTCCAAGAAGCGAGGGCTTGAAAAGGCGACCTCAGAACAGCTATGGGAAGCCTTGAAACACAAATGGGAAAACTTGCGCCAAAATCGACACTTCGTTTACGCTTTGTATGACTCGATTCCGACGAGGATCGCCGGCCTGAAAGTGGCTCAATGCGGTCCTATCCGCTACTGAATCACGTGCCACATCACATGCATCATGAATACGTGAAATTATTTTCTCTCGAGATCTTTCTTTTCCTTCATCACATTATTCTTATTGTTTTGCTTTAAATCAAAGCCAGCTGGATTAAAATATTTGCATGAAAACCCACGGGTCTTGTGATATGCTAAATATTGGAAGATTCATTCACACCTGAAATATTTCAGTTGGTAGCGTGAGTAGGAGCTTGGTGCTGCTTGCACAAGTGGCAGGAAAGCTTTAAGGAACGCAATAACTTTTGTGCCCGACCCATGTCCATTACTGCGAAATCACAAGCCGCAAAGCCAGTTTTATGTGCGAGCTGCGAACCACGTCCCCTAATATGACGTGTAATTAATACTTACATCCTGTATAAAAAGGTACCCAAAAATAAAGAAGTCCTATCATAATTGCAACCTGACACTAAGGATAGTAAGAATTGTTTATTTTATTTGAGTGATGAAGGATGAACGTGCCACGCTATTAGCAGCAAGAGTAAAACCAGGTGCCTAAGTGAAGTTTTTGAGAAATAAATATAGTTGCATAGCTAAGCAAAAAATCACGTTATATAAAGCCATGGTCCCTAGTTATGAATGCCATTGGGATCCATCAGAAGGCGATGAATGACATTACTCAAAGCGGTAGGCCTCCGGGCCTACCGCTTCGAATAATATTCCGGTTTTAAGTATGCCATAAGCTGTGGTTAGTAACTTGGTAATGTGGGCACGATTTCATAATCACTCTAGTCAACTGGTTCAACACAGTTGAATAAGTTCCCATGTGAAACCTCTCTTTTCTTTTTTTTAAAAAAAAAAAAAGAAAAAAAAAGAAGTGCAAAAACCGAAACTAGGCCAACATTTGTACGAAAAAGAGAAGACAAGCGGCCGTGGTACAGGGCTATAACCGGGCTCAAAGTTAATATGATAAGCGAACATTAACATTTATCATAATTTATTTTTAAACACAGATGGCTCATTGGAAGAAAAAAGAAAAGATTAACCTTCCCAAAAAAATTAAGCACTGCGTCAGTTTCGAATTCACTGAGAAACTAAAAAGAAAACAATTATATGTACGATTCAAATATGTGAAAACTGGTTTTAATAATATGCAAAGTAGGAATCTAGATAGAATCCTGCTTTGAATTGTTCCAACCAATGTGCTAACGTTGCCTCGTGTAAAAATAATAATCCCGATTCGCAATCCTTGCTGAGCCAAGGTACAATCGATTCACATGTTTTGTTGCGTTCGCACCGGCTGTGCATAACAACAAGGAGAGTTCCATTGGTTTTCTCCTCCGTGGCCGCCAGTGGTCAACATGGCCAGCCCTAGGACGCCAAAACGAAGAAAACGGTATCTAGACTGTGATGAAGACTTTATACTTCCTCGGTCGACGCAATGTCTGCATGACAAAAACAAGCGGGAGACTGTGTCGAAAAATTCCCCGTCAAATCAACAGGCAGTTAGCGAACCACCACCGGAACCCGCGTGTCCTGGACACAGCGACGAGCCTCCTACTTCCCCGGATAGCTCCTTGGGTAGCTCCAGTAGGAGGTCATCGTGCAGTTCGCCTTCTGACGAAGAGCTTGAAAAACCAAGCCAATTCTACCAGCCACTCTGACGAATAGCCTTCGGATGTAGATGATGTCAGTGACACCGAAGGGAGCACTTAGGTGGAGAGAGGGGAGGCGGAAGAAGGCACCCGTTCCTCTCCTTTCTTGCTCAATGACGATAATCGCCTTCAACGATGCCTCGCGGAGTTCGGCAGCGCCATTCTGCCGCACTCTACTAC